GCAAAAAACTAATCTGAATGCCAATTAGTGGCTACTAAGAATGACTGGACATGTCCCTTTTGAAATACCTTGGGTTGTCTAATATTGCAAATGGTATGCCATCATGGTGGTAATTCTCATTCCTGGACTACCATACGGTCTCAAGGGCAACGTAACCAATCTGGCTAATTTCAATGTGAAAAAACTGAAACGCAAGCATTATATTTGACTGAGTAACTTTTGAAAACACCATTGTAGCAAACTCACCCCTTTAAGGGAGTTTGCCATGAGCTTTTGGAGGGGCCTGCTTGCCCGCCTCCTGCCCTGTGACTACGGCCCCTGGCATGTATTGCCCTTTAAGAACATATTTGGGCATAATGGATTTTTATTGTGTGGCTACTGGCCCTTTAAGCACAGTGAATGGACTTTTATTGGACTGTGTATAGCCCTTTAAGAACCATCTGCGGACATATTGTGATTTTTGGGAACAATGCCCCTTTAAGATTTTGTCCCCAGACTGTAAAAATACTGTGTTCCTGTCTTTCTTCCACTTGGTTCAGTAAATGGGGCTTACTGAACCAAGTACCACGCAGGCGGACCACCCAGTGGAAGTGGAAGTGTGCAGGCAATTTACCTCCCAGGCTGGGAGCCTGCTGTAGGTAAATTGCAGACCACTGGGGGGCCACCGTTCGTGCAAACGAACATGGGGCGGCGGCCATCGTTGTTCATTCGAACGCGGTCAGCAGTGTGTGTAGCCAATTTCATGGAACTGACCCTTACCTTCTCCAACACTGAATTTTCAGCTGCAGAGACTAAGTCCCGTTCGGCAATGGGACTTAGACTTAGTCTTTTTTTTCAGTGTGAAATTGACCGACCGCACAGCCCAAATCTATGGAACTGTTTTGGGCATGAAAATGGTCATAAAGGGACCTCCACCTGACTTTTTAATCCCTGGATGTAATTGGCTGAATTTTGACTATGTTTATATTTGAAGTGTGCTGAATAATATGTTTTTTTTTGACTATTGAATGTATAGTTTTAAAGTTATAGTACACGTGTAAAAACTTTATTTCTCTGCGGGGAGGATTTTGTCTGTAATTGCTGGGAATGTCTGAGTGTATTGTATGTATTGATTGGTTGTTTTACAAAACCCTGTAGGCAGTACTAGGTTTGTAAAATATGCATAAAAGCAGTGTCTCATTAAAAGCTTCAGTTCTTCTTCACCCTCAATCTGATTCCTGTCTCTTATTGGGGGAATCTGCTACAAGGGATTGCCATGCTCTGCATATTCCCTTGCTATAATCACTCCTAAACTCATAAGAGCTTGTTCCTGGTTTGCGCACTGAAGGAGTCTACGGTGGTTATGGTGTCGTACCCCCCATGTACAGGTTTTATAGTGTCTTGGAAAGTTACAGGGTTAAATACAGTGCTAGCAAATTAAATTCCCTGGACTTTTGGCCTGGGTTGTCAGACAGGTCCTGCAAATTGTAATTAATAAAATTACCTAATTTTATATATATATATATATATATATATATATATTTAAAAATCCGACCTCCGACACTCACCATCATTAAAAAAATAGAACTTGCAATACCTGGGTGCTTCCAGCATCAAACATAAAGCAAATAGGGAACGGAGCACTCTTAGGAAATTTTCAATCGTGTATTTAATAAGTAATCAAGATTACTTAATAAATACACAATTGAAAATTTCCTAAGGAGTGCTCTGTTCACTATTTGCTTTATGTGTGTGTGTATAAATACATACACATACATACATACATACAACATAGTCACGATACCAGTAGAGAGCACTCAGGAGTTTTCAAGGTAAATTTCATCTGTTGCTTTATTGAGCAATTACAAATTCAAACAACGTTCCGGTCGACATTTCTGAAACGTCGACTGGAACGTTGTGTGAATTTGTAATTGCTCAATAAAGCAAAAGATGAAATTTACCTGGAAAGACTCCTGAGTGCTCTCCACTGGTATCGTATACAATTTGGTTGGAGACAGCACCGGAGCATTAAAAGACCGGGAGCATTGAGTGCTGGGACCTGGGACGTTTATCCCAAATTACATTATATTATATACGTCCCAGCACTCAATATATATATAATTTTTTGTAATTATTTTGATTTATATAAAGGTATATATATAGTGATATTTTTCGTTCAAGTGTGTGTGTATATATATATATATATATATATATATATATATATATATGTATATATATATATAAATTAAAGAAAAGAGGAGTCAGAAGTTGTAATCCAATATTTTCTTAATTAGAAATGCAAGTGGGAGAAGCAGCAAAGCAGAGGCAGCCCAGGTTGTTAGGAGCTGTCCTCGGAGGATATAGTGCAGAGGAGAATCAACCAATGTATATTCAGGGGAAGGATAGGGAAAACCAGGAGGAAATTGAGAATGTAACAACCTATGATGAACATGATAAATCATTGGATGATAATGAGATTCTGAGTGCATTCCCGCAGATATCTATTCATCATCATCCTCCCTTTGACCCTGCAGCAGGGCAAGAGTACCATCAGAAGCTGCATTCCTATAGGGGATTGAAAGCGCTGTATTCATGTCCATAGTTAGCTGATGCTGTCATATGTCTGATCAATGCTTAGCTACTTATGATGTGTATTCAACAATATTATTTAAACTTTTTTAATAATATTATGCATCAGTTTCCTTATATGTCGTTTAGGGTGCCCTTTGCCCCACTCATATCTGGTACCCAATATTATTTAATCTAAACTACTGTAATATAATAGCATCGTTTCCTTCACGAGTGTCTGTTTCACACCTGCCCAGGAACACTCGTGGTGTCCCATAGTTGCTTCTAAAAAAACAAATCTTTTTTGACTAAATTAATCATCAGCTTCACAGTGTGCCGGCTACCAGGCCCCACTCTAGTTTAAAGTTGCATGAAAAAATAAAAACTTTTTGGATGTAGAAATGCAGTCTGTTTTTCACTGTGGGTTTCAGCCTCTAGGGCAGTGTCTCACCAGTGCAACTCATAGTTGTAACAGCCTGCATTTGAAAACACAGACAGTAATAGAGAAAGCAGTTAGTTGTCTGAGGTGTTGTCAGCCTACGGCGTCTATTGCCAACCACTGCACAGTGCCACTCAGCTGTGTCACAGTAGCCTCCACGCAGAGTACCACTAAGGAAAAAAAATGGTGGTGAGGGGCCACCCGCTCTTGCCGCGTTCGGAGCTGACTCGGCAGAATAAGGAGTGTTACAAGCGCTGACAGCCCACACTAGATAAAGGTCCCCTCTGAAGTGGGAAATAATTGAAGTGGGAAGGGTGATTAACTAATACCTCCAAGCAGAAAACAAGTTTTTTTAAAACCTGGCACTATATTCCCACAACGTTACCTTCTGATGTTTCTGGCTGCCAACAATCCCAAAATCCCCAGGACTGTCAGGAGTCACTTTTGAGCTCCACAGGCCCGGTTCAGGAACTGCTTGCAACTGTTTGATAGTTTGAAAATGAATAAACTACCAAACAGAGTCAAAAGTCTTACCCTGGAGCTTATTCCCCTCATCCAGATGAATTATTTCACCAAACAGTGCCCTTCTAAGTTATATAGAAACGAACACAGGCGATGATGGAAGTCCAGCGGTGTTCGGGAGTTTCTGTGTCCGATTTTAGTTCCATGAGATTCATGCCCAAACACCGCTGCCTGTGTTCATGCAAACAAGATGGCCGCCACCTCGTGGTTGTCCATAGGAATTGCGGCCACCCAGATGCACAATTAGAACACTACGGTGAGAAACATTCCAAGTTGTTAATAGGTGTTAACAAGCTCCAGGGTGGTCTCTGGTTCGTGCCGCTTCAAACTGTTTCAGGAGTTTAAAAATCTAGCCATGCAAGTCCAAAAAGGCACAAACAGTGCATTTAACCAAAGTCTATTACAGGGACCATAGTCACAGAGCAGGAGGCTGGCAAACTGATCTCCAAAAGTCACATACAGGTTACTTTCGCCACATACAGGATGTAAATTCTAGAGCATGCATGTCCCCATCCTCCTAGAGAGCACTAGTCCATGCTCTAACAGCTAATCTGAGGTCAAGGGTGATATCCCTTTAAACATCCCATAACTGAAGTTTTTCCACATAACTGTAAACTTGCAGGGTTTAGGGTGAAGGGAGTTGACACCCAGATCACTTCAATGAGTTGAACGTAACCCTGCAAGGTAATTATTGTAGTTAATAAAACCTGCAATAAGTACACTTGCAGGATTAAGGGTGATGGGAGTTGGCACACAGACCACTTCAATGAGCTGAAGTGGTCTGGGTGCCTACAGTGAAATAGAAAAAAAAATTCTGAAAAGGGAGCATTATAAACAAAAAAAATAAATAGTATATTTAACATCTCAGATGAATGAATATAATTATATTTTACATGCATGTGAGTTAAATTGATTCTGTTTTATAACAAGACCTTCTCATTCTCTGTGCGGAATCCCATGTCCTTTAAATGCAATTTAGCAGCCTCATCAGAGCCATAAAGGGCAGATCACACAGTTCTCCAAACCCCAACTGTGCAGTCCCCAGTTCAGCATGCGCATTAACCACAGCACTCTCTCCTAATGTATTCATTTTGAGGCATGAAACTCGACTGTGACCCTTTGTTGGGCGTTGACTACTAACTCCAATGACTGGTTAACCCTCTCAGCCATGCCATTGGTTTGGGGATGATAAGAGGAAGAAAATGATAATTCAATGCCCAACTGTTTATTGAAAGCCCTCAAAAACCGAGACACAAACTGAGAACTTCTGTCAGATACAATATTGTGAGGGATGCCATGCAAACGTACAATTTCATGTATAAAAATAAGAACCACAGGGGCGGAGCCTGACCTTGGAGGAAGATGGACGCTTGAATCCGTGGATCCCTCTCCCTATAGCACTGTTATCAGCTACCATCCGCTCTCCCCTTACTAATTACACCCCAATATCGACATCTATCAACCTGAGACACCCTGCCCCACACCCGATATCATGGGCAGCGGGAAAAAGAAGAAAGACCACACACCATCAGTCGCAGCTTTATTCCGCACAACAGGAGACATGCAGAGGCCTACCAACTCGCAACACGCGGAGGAGGCAGGATCCGACTCAGAGGGGCATGAATCCACACCTGACCCCATGGCTCCCCTAATGATAGGGATACTCTGCAGCATGCTCGACGAAGTCACAGCCAATATTAAATACCATGTGGCCAAGGAGATTAACAAGCAACTATCAGGCCTCAAGACTGAAGTGGCAGCACTTTTTTCTAGAACAAACCAAGCAGAGAACAAACTCAACACTCACAGCACCCACCACAGCCCATACCCAGGACATACTTATCCTTGAAGATGGTCTCGAAGATCTAAATAACAGATCAAGGAGAAATAATATATATGAATATGCAGCCTACCCGAATCAGTATCAACTGAACTCCTGATCCCCACATTGAGAGATATCTTCAGGGCTATGGTGCCAGACCTCACTGCAAGCGACCTGGAGAATGAGGCACACCGAGCCCTACATCCCCCAAGCCTCAATGCATCTACCCCAAGAGACATTATTACACGTCTCCACCACTTCCTGGCGAAAGAAAAGATACTATACGCAGCCAGGGACCGTCCCCCCAGATATAGGGACTCCCGGTTAACCTTCTTTCAGGATCTCGCCCCATCGACTCTGAAGAAACGAAGAGAAATAAAACCCCTCACTCTGGCCCTCCAACAACAAGGGCTGAAATACACTTGGGGACATCCGTTCAAATTAATAGTCAGAAAAGATGACCAAAAACAAATACTGATGTCCCTAGCCGATATGGGACCCTTTGCGGACTCACTGGGAACACAATTGCAGAACCAAAACCCATCTTCCGGGAACTGGGGAGAAGACCAGCCCCAGGACAGGCCTAGATCCCCACACCAAACTAAAAAGAAGAAACCACCTACACCACCCGATCAGGCGGCCCCAGAAACACAAGACCAATGATCGTACACTCGGCCTAAAAGACTCCACTCCAAAACCGCCAATAACTTGCTGAATCAGGTATGCAAATACCCTTGTGTAACGGACCACCTGGCACCCCGACTGGGTACCTCCGTTTATGGATGCTCCTAGCGTTTCCTGAGGACTCCAAGCACTGTGGCAGACACCACAATCACCGAACCAGAGAAGCGTATACCTTCTCTCAAGCATATGAATGCTATAAACAGCTGAATAGGCAAAAACCATACGGATGGGTTTAGACTCCTAGCAGTCAAACTGGAACAGCATACAATACATCCTTCCCCAATAATGAGACGACACTTCACTTTGAGGGTTAAGCAGGAACTGACTGTACTGGCACATCCAGCCTCTTTTATTCCCAATCCACAAACTTAGTACTGTCCACAGGGTTTTATAGAACAACCAATAACACGCGTACATTACAGAAAGACACTCCCACACAAAATCCTCCCCTCTGCCTGTGATACAATTACTCAATGGTTAATCTAATTATCAGGCAGATAAATACAGTATCATAAAACACATCACAGGGACCCCAAAACATGCAATAACCCCATAAAAAGTATATCCTTGGAACCGGGGGATCTGGGTGAACCACATATCCAAAATTCACCCAGATCCGTTCAGTACTTTGGAAGATACAGTTTAATGCAGATTCTGCAGAACATATACAGGCAAAATGAAAAACAATCACTGTATAATGTGTCCCCTGTTGTATAGTCCAAAACCACTGCACGATGTCTCTGTGCACCAAATACTGGTGAGATGGCACCGTGTAGAAAGTCCAAACAGTGTCTGTGAGTTAAAATGGCCGCCATCTATTGTTCTCACCATGTGCTTCATCCATTGTTCTCACCATGTGCCTCTGTTACATGAAATGGTGGCCACCCAGTAACTCCACAGTATGTCCCCAGATGGTTCTTAAAGGGCCAGCAGCAGCACAACACAAATCCATTATGCCCAAATCATGTCTTTAAACAGCAACACATCCCAGGGGCCATAGTCACATGGCAGGAGGCGGGCAATCAGTCTTCTCCAATGCCCAGTGGCGAGGTCGGTTTCGCCACACCTTGAACAACCCTGAATACTCACCTATGGGCCCCTAAAGACAGCTCCCCCACTCATAACATGCAAACGTCAAACGAAGGTCTGGACCTAACCCTTCGATGAAAGACTCGCTTCTACAAACCATAAAACCCCACCAGGACTCTGTCAATGCACTTACCCCCTCCTCTAGGGACATATTGTGAAGGGAACCCCCATACCCAACCCATTGCCCATAAGGTTTAATGTGACATTTAAATGCAGGTATATATTGATAAGATGTATCTCTATGTTGATATATTAAGCTACAGATGGCTCTCTTCTGGGCCCCTCACCTCTGTCTTCGGTCTATGGACTCACAGATCGGCATTAACTAACACCTTCCACTCGAAACGACAAGGGGACCACGCATGACACATGACTGGACCTACAACTGGATAACCAACAGAAACCGTAAGTGGAATCCTTCAACAGGTGCTTGGGGAGGGGGGGAGAGAAGGGAACGTGAAAACCTTCCTCCGCTCTCTCTCCCTCAACTAATAGACACAAGACCCTACCAGGGCAACACACACACACACGACACCACCCAACAGGCACCACCACAACCCCCCACACCGCCTGGCTGCACAATCGTAAAACCAGGACACAAGCACACCCCATACACCATCCCCCCAACCAACCCCCACAAGCCCATCCCCACCCCCTTTCCCCCACGGCCTATCCAACCTGACCAAACACATGCAGGTGATCATGCCAAAAGCAATCTCTTGCATATCCCTTAACTGTAAGGGCCTCAACAATCCTTTCAAGAAACACACTATGAAAACAATAGGCCCTTTCCCGTTAGAAATAGAAACTATACAGACTATCACATGGGGAACTCCCAATGTGGCAAACATAACGGAGTGGCCATCCTGATCCTCAAATCGTGCCCCCTCCGATATACGCGCACAATATTGGACCCCCAGGGCAGATTCTTAACCATCACAGGCCACCACTGCAACCATAAATATGCAATCACATCCATATACGCCCAGGGGTCAAGTCCTGGGGAAAAAAGTGTGGGAACTCTCCCAAAAAAAACCAAAAAACACTTGTATGTATGTGTATATATATGTATGTATGTATGTATGTATGTGTATATATATATATATATACATACATACATACACACGCGTGCACACACACACACTCACACAGTGGTGTATTTTAATTTTATGCTGCCCTAGACATGACTATAGAGCACCCCCCTAATCTAAATTTACCACTCCTTCATGTCAAGGGTGCACCGCTTCCTGATTAAGAACCCACCCCTTCCTCTTTAGATACCACCTTTTCCTGCTCCTTTTAAAGAAATACTATAGTGCCAGGAAAACAAAGTTGTTTTCCTGGCACTATAATTCCATATAGTGCCCCCCTCCTCTCATGTCCTCCCCTCCCCCACCCGACACTGAAGGGGTTAAAATCCTATGGGTATTTAGCAGATGCTGGATGTCCTCATGCACAGGGTGAGGACGTCCAGCATCAGTTAGGTGACTTTTGGTCACCTAACTACCCGAAAGTCCCTCTAGTGGCTGTCTGATAGACAGCCACTAGACTTGGAGTTACCCCTCAGGTAATTATTGCAGTTTCTGAGAAGGTTTAAGGGGACTGGGACACTGCACCCAGACCACTTCAAGGAGCTGAAGTAGTCTGGGTGCCTATAGTGTCCCTTTAAGCACACTCTCTGACAGACACCCACACTGGTAGATACACACTGACAGTAACACACACATTCAATGACAAACACACAGACTTCACTGATTTGACACACACATTCACTGACACACACTCATTCATTGACAGAGAGACACACACTAATAGTCACACACACACTAAATGACAGACTCTCACTTATTTGACAGAAACTTACAATAACGTATGCACATACATGCAATTGCAAACATACACATGCATACACTAACAGAATCACATACACTCACATACACACGTACAAACGCTAACAGACATAAATACACTCCTACACACACTGAGACAAACAGACATCCACACATCCACACATCCACACACACACATCCACAAACACACATCCACAAACACACATCCACAAACAGACATCCACACATCCACAAACAGACATCACAGACATCACATACACAGACATCCACACATCCACAAACAGACATCCACACATCCACACATCCACAAACAGACATCCACAGACATCCACACATCCACAGACATCCACACATCCACAAACAGACATCCACACATCCACAAACAGACATCCACAAACAGACATCCACAATCCACAGACATCCCCACAAACAGACATCCACAAACAGACATCCACACATCCACAAGACAGACATCCACACATCCAGACATCCACACATCCACAAACAGACATCCAGACATCCACAAACAGACATCCACAAACAGACATCCGCAAACAGACATCCCCACATCCACATCCATACAGGATGTAAATTCTAGAGCATGCATGTCCCCATCCTCCTAGAGAGCACTAGTCCATGCTCTAACAGCTAATCTGAGGTCAAGGGTGATATCCCTTTAAACATCCCATAACTGAAGTTTTTCCACATAACTGTAAACTTGCAGGGTTTAGGGTGAAGGGAGTTGACACCCAGATCACTTCAATGAGTTGAACGTAACCCTGCAAGGTAATTATTGTAGTTAATAAAACCTGCAATAAGTACACTTGCAGGATTAAGGGTGATGGGAGTTGGCACACAGACCACTTCAATGAGCTGAAGTGGTCTGGGTGCCTACAGTGAAATAGAAAAAAAAATTCTGAAAAGGGAGCATTATAAACAAAAAAAATAAATAGTATATTTAACATCTCAGATGAATGAATATAATTATATTTTACATGCATGTGAGTTAAATTGATTCTGTTTTATAACAAGACCTTCTCATTCTCTGTGCGGAATCCCATGTCCTTTAAATGCAATTTAGCAGCCTCATCAGAGCCATAAAGGGCAGATCACACAGTTCTCCAAACCCCAACTGTGCAGTCCCCAGTTCAGCATGCGCATTAACCACAGCACTCTCTCCTAATGTATTCATTTTGAGGCATGAAACTCGACTGTGACCCTTTGTTGGGCGTTGACTACTAACTCCAATGACTGGTTAACCCTCTCAGCCATGCCATTGGTTTGGGGATGATAAGAGGAAGAAAATGATAATTCAATGCCCAACTGTTTATTGAAAGCCCTCAAAAACCGAGACACAAACTGAGAACTTCTGTCAGATACAATATTGTGAGGGATGCCATGCAA